TTTTGATAACTAAATTTAAGCAGTGAAAAGTTTCGCTAGCTACTTAGTTCCACTCGTCGTTTTCATTTCAACAAATTAGATCAACAAGAATTCTTAAATCCCCCATCGGGAAAACCGCGAAAACTAAGTTATGAAATAAAATTTGCGCCAAAGACTGGTAAAGTAAATAACGAAATCAAACTTCAAACGAGCCAAAAACTATGGCAGCACAGGCCAAGAGAAAAGAAACCAGCACCAAAAATCCAAATAAAACGTAATAAGAGGAATAAATAAAAGCAGAAATGGACCGAATGAGATTTTGCGCCAAATACATTAGCTCGATTTGGTTTGGCGAGTGCGGTGCTCACCGCAATTATTTAATTACACTCTGGCACTACGTAAGCCCTCCAGCGTTCCACCGGGTTTCTGTTTCTGCCCAACACCCGCCGGATTTTGGGTTTAATCAAAGAGCCAACCAAGTCAAGCTCAACACAAAGAGCGGACCAGCGGATGAGCGAAACTTTTGTTGCAACTTTTCGGTGCAGCCAAGCAAATCGAGGCGCGACCCCTGAACCCTGCGATGCGGGAGGGGGGTAGGAAATTTGGGGTAGTTGCAAGGGGTAAAGGGACAATGAAGAGGCCCCACATGCAGGCGGCCCCACTTTACTCACTTTCAAACCCCACCCGATTCGTATCGCTAATGATGATCAAATAACGACCAAATGTGGACCGCCTCGCTTTTAAACACTCTAGCACAGAGAAAAAAAGTTTCAAAAGGAGCAACTAAAAAATGTAAAGAAGATTAAAAGATTAAAAACAAATTTTATAAAAGTTGAAATTGGCAAAAAAATATGTATATCTAAAAAGGTTCCTTAAAAAATTGTTTTTTACCTTTATTTGTACCCCAATTGTGAATATTGTTTAACAGCTGAGGTATTTTCCGCATTGAAAAAAAATGTAATAAAAATAATAATTTTCACAGTTTTCGATACACAGTTTTTCTCTCAGTGTGGCCTTCTATAGAAACAGACAAAGCGGACACAAAATCGTTAGCCCACTTGGCAGGGCACCAGCAAATTTGTGCACTCTCGCCCTTTAACTGTGTCACGGCTTCTTCTCCATTTCCATCTACATCTACATCTCCAATCGCCCAGCCACCGACCTCCGGCCCACAATCTTCCGATGTCGTCTGGCGTAATGAGCAGTCTTTCGATTCTCTTCCGGGCAGAAAGGGGTGGGATGTACACAAATGATATGTAAATACCAAACAATTTGCCATGAGCTGGCTGGCAGGCTGCTTTGGGGCCCTATTTGATTAGTGCTTGATCAGTGCGCCAAAAACCAGGCAACGTTCGCTTGATTTTTGGCAGCGCATCTGAAGGATTTTGGAAACATGGTAACGAATCAAGTTAGTTGTGGATGGCTGCGCCAAGTGTTGTCATAACTGATATGTAACCGAGTTACAGACAAAAGGGTATAAAGTTCCCTTTAAGCTTTTATGAAACACACGTTATCTTTAATATTTTATTTTGACAATGCAATCTCAGATCATTTTTAAGAGATGTTGAACAGTTATGTAAACTAAAATATAAGGTTTTAATTTTTTAAAAACATTTATAATTTAAATTTCATAATATTTGCATTTATTTTTCACTTGCCAAAAACTATAAACTTTTTTTGTCTTTAAAATAAATCCTTACTTTTGATGGAAATAAATAGTGATGTTAAATCTTTCAATAAGCCGCTTTTCATTGTCGTTTTTTTAGTAAAAAATAATTTCATTTGAGTACAAAAAAGATAAACACTTAATGCTGACTCAATAATTGTTCTATAAACCTTGTTTAACCTTCTCCTCTCGCGCCAACCCATGGGAAACATATCACTCTTCTTAGCTTGCCCAGAAAAAACATTTTCATTTCAACGAGAATGCAAAAATTAGAATGCGTAGCCATAATAAATTATATTTTTGACACACAAACCCACAGCCCCAACACGTATGGGTGTGCGTACGTGAGGCAAACACCTAAATGTAGGCAATAAAATTTCAGCAAAATAACCAAATGCATAAATATGTTTTAAGTGCTATGTGAATAACGCCCAGAACTCCCTTAAATAGGGCCATAATTTATGCAAAAAAAACACACACATAGAAAAATCATTGTGGGAAAAATTAATATTCAAACAGAACGAAGGATTGGTATCCACTTAATATGCCCTCATCCTATCTGGCAAGGGCAACAATGAAATATGCAGCACAAACAATTGGGTTTTGGTAAATTTCCGGACCAAAATGCAACCAAAATTCGGTCTGCGAAAATCATAGCAAATATATATCATGCCAGCAATCAAACATTGAATATGTAAATAAAAGTTGATACTTAAATTGCGTGGGATCAAAGGGCTTACTATTTATATTCATAGTTGTGAAAGCTTTAAGTGCATGCAATATTTTTTGTGTCAATTATGTGTAAATTGAGGGGGGACTTGGACTTTTGAAAGAGAGTTTATAAAATGCTTAACACTTTTACATACCTGATCACTTTGCGCTGTCTCAGTCACGGAAAGATCATTACCAGACATTTTATCTGATTTTACTAACTCAGCTCTCCACGTCTAACTTTGCATTAAGTTCACTTTTATAGCTGCATTAAAAAAAATAGATTTTATTTAAATACAAATAAATTCGTTTGGTATTTCATTCAGTTTCCAGTTCGACAATTCTCGTTTTGCATTCCGCGTACATACTTCGCCGTCTTTTCGGATTTATTCTGACATTTTGGCAATGATTTATTGCACACATTTTATTTGCACTTCACATACTTTTCAAAAATGTTCGCATCTGTTTCAAAACGTTTTACGTTGTCGTTGATTTTTTCAGGCATTCTAATTGATACTTGGATTTATTACAATGCACTGTTTGTTATTTGGGATATTCCTATAGTATTTTGTAAATTATTGGTTACAGTCGCTTATGTTATTCTTAATTAAGTTTTAGTTATGATGAGGGTTATGTAATAACAGAAGGTTTTCCTTGCTGAATAAATTTAAAACATTTTTTATTCTTTTATTGCCAGGGACTCGTGTAATATATCCCAAGAAAATAACTGCTGCCTGTCACTTAATGCAAATTAAACAATTTAAATGAGCAAACAAACAAAACCAAGAGAATCCGAATTGAGGAAGGAACGAAGACAGCCCAAGAAGTTTTTGTGGCAGGCACACAAACACAGACGGCCAAACTGCGCATTGCACATAACTCGTAACTCATACGCCCTGTTGTACAATGAAAATGGCCGCGTTTATAAACGTTTGCTTGCTTGTTTGTTTGTCGGTTGGTTTGTTTGCCCGCCTGGCTGCGGTTTTTCAATTGTCAGAGCCAAAGCGAACGAAGAGAGCCCAGGAGCCCAAACAGTGGGGGAAATGTTAAAAAAAAGTAAAAAAGTAAAATAAATAAGAAATACCAAATAAATTGAATTGCGTAGCCGACTATAAAGAGACAGCCAACGTAGGTGAGTGGAGCAAAGCCAACTGGAAGCGAAGATAAAAGCACAGCATCCCCAAGGGGAGTGGTAACGAAACAAAAACAGGACAGGACACACAGCCAAACAACAAATGTGATAAATGTGCTGCGACCTTTTGGTAATGTGCATAAAATATATTTCTAAATTGTCAAATGGAAGATAGCGCCCAAAAAAAAACTTTGAAGTTGTCGAAAGAGGTCAGAACACAAGATGTGATTGTATTTCCTTTATCTGTATTCCTTTTGGAGCAGATGCTAAAAGCTTGTCTTTCAATCTGTCTTCAATTGGTTGAAACCGACCTCCCTGTTTAAGAATTTAATTTTCAGGCAGTGCACAATATGAACAACTGCAGAAATTAAAATCAATTTTAAATGGAAACAATTTGGTTACATTTTGGCAGCCAGCTTTTTTATTTGGATTTATTTTTAAAAATTTTAAATTTGAATACTTTTTAAATGGTTTGTAGTTGGGGACGGAATGTGTGCTTAGGTTCAATATATGTAATGTAAGATTTTTTTCTAAGTTCAGTTTACAGATTCAATTGAAAACACATGCTGAAAACTTGTTTTCATTTTCTTCAAAAGCTTCCTTGACTAATGTTCTTTTGTGGGGCCCAATTTTCTGACTTGACAAAATTGTGTGGCTTAAGGATATAAATATCCCACTTTAAACCTTAACGACTGTCTATCCATTAAGTAACTTTACAACTGACCCAGGCATACAAATATTTGCCAAAAATGCCCGTTTGAGTTTCTTAAGTTGCGGTTAAGCCGGATTTTGATGTCCTTCAGTGGCGGTCACATCTGCCGTGCTGCCTAAATGCATTAAATATTAATGAGTTAAAAAGCGGCAAGTAATTTGTTGTCCCTGAATGAGGGATAAGCCACGCTGAACTGAAAAATTGCCGGGCTATTGATATAGAAACCGGTATTGCTCACTCCACCACCGAGTGGTTTCCTGGCCGACTCGTCTTCTAATCCGACGGATGCAATGCGCTCGCCGGACTATTTGATTTTTCATTTGTGCATTTGTCAAGTGCGAGAACAAGAAATTGCAAGTGGCAACCGACAGGCGGCGGATAGCCAAACAAACAAACATAGTGGGAAATAGGGTAGGGAATGGGGCAAAAACCAACAGAAGTTCCATCAATTTTACACAATCCACTTAACTTGAAAAGCCAGAGGGCAGTCACTCACAGAAGCCGAGAAGGGGAGAACTCCATGGAGGAGCATTCTCTATCTTTTCCAATTCATTTGAATTTCTGTCGGAGAAAGTTGAAGCTAATTACTAAACGATATATAGAACTTAAGGTAAAAGGCAGCGAGTTTTGATTATTTCAGGGGGTTTTGAGCACCTGGGAAACACTAGAACTACATTTTTTATGAATTTATAGTTTAAAAGTAATATTAAAGGCAATAATCTTTGTGCCATAGTATATCATTTATTTTGTTCTTATCTTAATGGTTTCCATTACTATAGGTATGACTGCATTTAAACCTCTTGACATTTGTGTGATTTTAATAAAGATATTCGAACACGATTTTTTAGCATCAAAAAGACAACTCCAGCACTGATAAACATGTAGACAGATACTATAGCAACGCATTCCACATGATTTCGTTTTTCGGGCTTAAGGAAAGTTTTAACCAATCCAGTTAGCAAGTTGGAGACTATGAAGTGGGTTAGGCCATTCGTGTTCAGGCTCTTCGCATAGGTAGGCAGTGAATCTATTTGATCATCAGTACTATTTCTCAACTCCAGAGATGCATAGCGCTTTTCGGCAGAAGATTTCGAAAGTGCCAATTGAAAGAAGAAAGCATAAATCAGGATAAGGCTCACACTGATGGCAAAAATCCAAATAACATAGCCGCAATTAAAGGTTACACGACAAACGTCCCAAAAAGTGGTGAAGAAGAGAACAAGAAGCCAACTGATAACAGAAATGGCTAAAATTGTTCTTATTTTGCTGCATAACTGGGGGTAACTTAAGTAATTCTTGGCAGTGTACCACTTTGAGAAGCACATACTCAGCAAGTAGAGAGAAACGCAGCCGTGAAGGGAACTCAAACCTTCCCGATTGACACTGAAAATATTCTGACTTCTTAATTCATATTCCTGTACAAAGTCGTAGATACCCAACTGAAGCACTATTTCATGTAGAATAAGCAATCCCAAAGCTAGTCCCAAAAGCTGCCCATCCGTTTTAGCCAGTAAGCTATACACACTGCCCATCAATTTGGTGAATCCCAGAATAAAGAAAGCATTTAAATGCTGACCATAGTCGTTTTCATCCACAGAATATCCACTTAGAAAAACAAAAAAGGTGCGTGCAACACCCAAAGTCATCAAAGGAACCACTGATCTTGGAAGTTTTCTCAGGTCAGCGGAATTCTTCACACGATTAGAAACCAATCCCATGGTCATCACAAATAATCCAATACCCATGTCCATAGCAGAAGATCCATAAAATACACTCTTGCTGTACTCATTTGGAAAATATTAAAAGTCCACGGCCAGAATGGCAGCACAGGTTCCATTGTAGGCAGTGGCTCTGATTAGAGAGAAGACAATGGGACGTTTGCCGATTTCGAATGTGCGGGTTTTTGAAGGCCATCTACTTCCATAAAGATAACACATAATAACGGCGGCCATCAGAGCTGAATATACATAACTATAATCGCTGCCCACGGTGATAAAAATCACAGTTGGTATTCCAATGAGAGTAAACTCTAGCAGGAATCGGCGTGTTGTTAAGGGATGCATGTGCCCACAAAGAATTCGAGAAAGGAAAAATCCCAAAGTGGTAGGCATTATAGTTAGAAAGCTTTCCACACTTTCTATAAAAGCGTCTGTTTCCATGTCCTCATCGTTGTTCAAGCCGGGGGATTCGGATCTTTTATGCATGGTACATAAATGGCTACAATTTAAAATCAAATATTTACATCAACCAACTAAATAGCTCATGGCAGAAAATTAAGAAAAGTGTTTTCTTTCAAAGCATAAATATTTTAAATATTTTAAGTGCTAATTTTGCAACAAAATATCGTTTGTAAGAGTTTAAAATGTGTTCTTAGACATTGTAAATATTATTTAATTTTACAGATTACGAACTCAAAAACTACTTGATTTAGTAGTATTTTTATAAAAGGTTTATAAAAAAACGCTTTTATTGTAAATCATTTTGCAAGTCTCTAGATTAAATTAATGTAAAATAATTTGAAAAAATCTATATTTATATTTTTAATTTCTCTAGCATAAAAGGGTCACATTAACTTTAGCTAAGTATTTATCATCAAAGCAGAACTGGCATTTGCCGTCATACTAAATTGAAATTACTTAGAGAAAGAAAGAACGCCTGATTACAACCTAAATATTCGGAACTCTTTTGATTCACTTGGGAAAACTCGGCTCAACTCACTTCAAGTCTTCTGGCTTCGTCTTACTGAATCTCATGATGTCTTCTTCCGAAACTGAATATATTACGGAGGAGGACGAACATGAACCGTCAGTATCCTCCGCTCCGGTGCCAGTTAGTCCCAATCAAAATCTTCAAGCCAGTCCATCGGTGACATTTTCGCCATTGGTGTCCATCACTTTGGTGGCTGGCATCCATGAAGAATCCTTCTTTGATTTGGAGTCAAACTATTCCGAGACCGGAGCTGCTTCCACGACTAGGATGGAACTTAGTCCGATCCCGGATCATTGGCTTAATGGCCTACGATCGGTGCCAGCTACTACAAATTTGAGGCCCAGGACGAGGCGTCGCTGGAACTCCGCAAGCCGCTCGGTTTCGCCATCGCCATCACCATCATCGACGTCGAACTCGTCATTACTTCGGCGGCCATCGATCCTGAGGAGGCGTACAGGTAATCGGGCTTTTAGTGTGGCTCAAGCCCAAGCTATATTTCGGGCTGAAAGGTTGATGACTGGATCCCTCACCGATGTCGATGACTACTCCGATGTGGACACCGCGGAGCGCTGTCATCGCATCGTTTTTGCCCGAGCTCCCCGGCGTGGCAATAGTATCAGCGATTGCAGTCAGTTCAGCAGCGATGAAGAACAAGACAAGATCAAGAGCAAAAACATGAAGTCCACAGTTCCAAGTCACCTGGCCGAATGGTTGTATCCAGTTTAGGATATAATGATCCATTAAAACCTTTTTGTTCAAAACCTTTTTGTTTAGGAATTCATGGAACTAAACCCTACTGTGCTTTGGCTATTAAAAGTGGGCTCCTTACGTAAAGAATTTAAAAATGGATGGTAATGGTTTATTCTATGAAACATAACATAAATGGGATAAATGTGATTAAGTTTGTAACTAGATTTATTTAAGAATTTACAAATTGATTGTCTTTTTAAATGCAATGAGGAAAAAGGACAACGAACTGAAAATTTTCGATCATATAATACCGAATCCAATGTTTTACTTAACGGCAAAACACTATTGTTTTGTTTTTTAAGAATATTGGTACGTGAAATTCCTTTAATACCTTTAAATACCTTTAACACTGCCACTTTCGCTAGAACTAAATCTAAGAACAGATTGAAGTGACCTGTACTTGTATAAATTGACTAAGTTCAACGAGCAGAAAACATAAGATCTTAAGTCTCCTGAAAAGGGATAACAACTCGAAGCAAGTTGTTTTCAAGCTGCCGCCATGGGTTCTGCTACTTGTTGAAAGTCTTTAAGGTCTTTTTAACGGCGAGTTTTTTCCTCCATTGTTTTTCCCAGTTTTCCCAGCAGCCGCTGCCACTTCATACGGGAAAGTGTTTATATGCATCTGGGGGGCGGGAAGTTGGAAATAATAATGAATTTGCGGCAAGCCACACAAACACTTGCTTCGGCCGCAACATGCGCCAGATTTTAGCTCCGGATATCAGCAGTAGCTGCACATGCATCAGCTCCGGCCGTAGTCCAATCCCACACAGAGAAACATTTTTTCGAATTAGTTTTAAGAACTCTGGAAAGTACATTTAACCGACTGAATGGTATAATAAAATGTTAATTGAATTTTGCTGTTGGGCGTTGGGTAAGTTGGTTTTTTACATTAAGTTGTATTGTAGGTTCTTTAAAAACAAACTGCTTTGAATATGTAAAAATGTTGGTTTATTCATATAACGTTGTTACACAACAAGCTTAGATAATTTTTCTAATAGATTTTGGGGAGCTCTACCGGAAAACTAAGCGATTTCAGTAAATGGATTTCGAAGTTGGATAACTGGCGGTTTCGATTTATTTTAAGACTCAATAACGATAAATCCAACTAAATTCATATATTTTAGATCGGAGAAGAGAACCTATATATTTTTGCAGTGCTTACTCAATGGCATCACCACCACCCACCCATCTCCACCCCAGTGGCTCATTCCTTAACCCACTGAGCGGCATGTGTGGCAGCTAATATGTTGGCTTGGCAGTGTCGCCTCTTGGAGCCGTTGAAAAATGCACTGACATGTGCCACAGCTGCTGCTTGCCCCCAAAGCCCCCGCGCCCCCTTCGGCCCTGCAGAGCCCCGTTTTTCCATTTCCACCACCCCCCACTGAAACAAATGCGCTGGGCGTGGGCGGTTGCGTGTGCTCTTCAACGGGGGGCGTGTTGATGCGCTGAACAATAGCTATAAAAAGGATTAACTTGCATAACAAAGCAGATTCCAAGGGGCGGAGGACTTGGAGCCGGCAGTGCCTGGCATATAAATTTCAACAACGCAGCAAACCGAACACTCGGCATTGGTCGAGTTCCAAATTTATAGCCCATACTCCTTCCCCCAGTTACCATTTCACCCGTAAGCATATGGTTTCGAATTGCAGCTTCCTTCAAAGTTTTACTTTTAAAGTTTTCGATATAAATACTAAATAATACACCTATTGTTTGTTGATGGCTGTAAGCAGCGCTCGATTGTTGATGTTTGAACCATCGATTCGACCGTAATTTTCACAAGGTTACAGATAACTATTTAAGTTTTAGATCAGCAGGAATTTTTGAAATAATTGATTTTGTTTGTCCTGCAAAGAAGTGTTCAGCTATTTTTTTTAAATGATTTATATTTTCTTTTCAACCAGGTAATTAATGGTTAAAAGAATGTCAAAGGGGTTTGAAAAAATATTGAAAAAGCTCACTTTAAAAATCCATTTCAAAAATGTTTTTCGCTTTATTTTCTTAAAAAAGATTAAAAGCAATTTGTTTTTAAATTTTAATTTTAGGTTAGGATTTAAAATTTTCTTTTAGTCTAAGGAAGTCTTTCCTTGATTTTAATTCAGGTGGTTGTAAAACAGAAAGTATGTGACATCATTGGTTTTAACTTTTTAAACTATCAAATAAATTGTCTATTGTCGGATGTTTAGCAGTTTGTGGCCCATCTTAAAGTGAAACCTCTCCAAGCCCGCTTTAGCCCCATTGCACCCCTTAATCCGTTTCGGGTCCTGTGACCCTTTGTCCATCCTTGTGGCGCCTGAAAGGGGAAGACAGCATTTCAGTCAACTGCAACTGCTGCAATTTCTCATTTTAATAAAAATGCAAATGTCTCCGGCTGAAGAAAGTCAAGCTAGTCGCTGTCTCTTTCTATTATCGCTATGCCCGTCCTCCTCGCTCCCATGATTTTTCTTCTCTTTCTCCAGCATCCTTTGCTCATATTAAACGCCAGCAAACTTTTCGATTTTACGGTATAACGAAAACAAAAGCAAGAGCTCTCAAAAAAAAAAAAAAAAGAAGACAGACAGCGATGCCGTAAGTACGAAAAAAGTACGGCAAGACAAATAAGTTTTCAATAAGGTCCTTAAGAATGTTAAAAAAGAATGGAAAAAGAGGATTGCACTCAGCTGAAGGTTGAGTAAAACAAAACAAAGTGTCAGTTTACAGCTGTCAGGACCCGAGGGACACAAACCGTCTCTCTCGTTTTCACTCTCTCTGTCTCACTTCCACTGCTTCGTGTCCTGTTGCTGACTCGCATTTAAAGTTGAGGCCGCCATATGGGATTGTACTATTTGACTGCGGATTTTAATGGTGACGATTCGAAACTATTCTCGAATAAATGTTTTTATATATTGAATTGCCTTTTTTTTAACTCAGAAACTCTTAAGCCTCAAACTAATTGGCAAATTATTTAAGGAAAACTGTGCCCTCGCATGTATCTGTTACCCAATTAAACAACAAGTAATTCATTTTGCCTTTTCACAGAAAAATGAGTTTTTACACGCATAAACCAAACTCGACATTTGTCTGCATGATAATGCAATTCGTAGCGAAAATAATGAAAAGTTAAAGTAAAACCATTTGGACATTTTTAATTCACTTTTTATAGTTTTACAGCTAATTTATATTTAATTTACTATTTGTTTTTTTCTCTATTGATAAATTACAGTTATTATGGTCTTATTTCCATTAATTGTTTCTGTTTATCAATTATTGGCAGAAACGTGAGATTAATCATGAGCATCGACACGCTTCCGCTAATTGTTTTAAAACTCTCGCTTTCAAACGATTTAATTTTTGTTTTGAAATACTTTGCCAGCACCAACTGGCAAAATATCACTTTGTCTACACACACACACACACACACACACACACACACACATCAGGCATCGGGTGTGCGGGCCGGGCTTAATTAATCTAATTGAAATAATGCCAGCGACAGGCGAGAGTCGCACATATGGTCGGCTTACGGGCACTAACAATGGCTTAGTACAATGCCGGCTCCCTATAAAATAGATCCCAGATGGCAGCGGGATGGGGACCTGAGCAACAAAAGGTTCTTTGTTTTCAGTGAGGTGGCTGCGGGACATGAAGTGAGCACTGCTTTAGATAGCCAAGCTGGAATCTACTTAAATGCGAATCTCGTTAACGGCGCCATTTAAAGTGGCAGAGGTTAGGGTCAAAACCACACACTCGGCTTAAGTATTTATTTAAAAATATTTATGAATAAAAATTCAATCAGCTAAGAGTGCACTAAATTAGTTTTTCCAAGGACTTGTATTTCTTTCTATCTTTATGGAAAAATGGAATGCTTCTCAAGCTGTTAATAAATGTACAATGTAAGACAATTTTATCCTCCACTTTTCTCCTCTAAAACTCAAATATTTTTGTTGAAGTTTCATACTTAAAGCTCTTTTAACTTGTTGACTAAATTTCAAGTTAGTTTTTTAAGTCATAAACAGTTCAAGAACACCTGAAATGAGTTTGTAGTACAAATTCCCAGTTTGTTTAATAGTTTGCAATACCTTTTGGAGGTTTAGTGAAATATTTCCCTAATGGTCTACCCACAAACCATACCTAAAGTTTTCTACATATTTTAATTTAGATTTTAACTGCATGTTAATGACCAGATTAAAACAGCCAGAGGGATTTTGGTATATCTACAATTTTGACACGGGAGCTGAGTTGGCATTGCCTTCGTTTGACTTGCTTCCCGCCTTGACTGGCACTTCATCTGCCCTGCCCACATATTTTTCCACCGTGCTGACGACTCTATCGACATTGCTGCCCACGAACTGAATGAGGGTCACATGGTTCTTGATGATCAGGAACGTGGGCATGCTACTGATCTCGTACTGGAGTGCCAGCTCTTCGTTGTTGTCCACGTCGATCTTGAGGATCATCATCCGACTGGCGTACTCCACTGCCAGTTGCTCCAAACGGGGCCCAATCATCGCGCAAGGACCACACCAGCTGGCATAGAACTCGACCAGGACATGTTTGTTGGGCCCTGCATCATCGAGTAGCTTGTCGTAGGAGCTCTTCGAATCGACAACGATCACCTTTTTGTGCTGGGAAGCCATAGGTAACCCTCGAGTTAGCAACTTAGCTCTGAATTTCACCAACAATTTTTCCGACTTAAAATTTCGATTTTTCTTGAGTTTTCATATGGAAAAGCGTTGAAGGGTAAGTGACAATAGGTTCTTAGCTAGTTGCTTATGTTTCTTGCTAATGGATGTGTCATTGTTTTTCTCGGTGGGCGTATTGTGGCCTGCAGCTTTACATTTTGCTGTCTTTTTGCTAAGGTTTTTCTTCTTAGGCCAAACTTTGGTTGCACTTTTCAACAAAGCGCTTTTACTTATATACTCTAAACATCTATCGTGGGTATTTATTTTTAATACTAATTTTAAACTAATTTTACACGCATTCAACATTTAAAGAACAAAAAAGAAATCAACAATAATAATAACTTTGGTGTTCAAAATTATTATTATTTTATTATTAAAAATTCGTATTAAACAAAATAAACTTTTTAAAATAAAAGGAAACGCTTAGCGCTGAAAACACGTTTT